CGTGTAGTCTATAGTATTAACCTATCCACTTTTGCTTATCGGTTAATCAACTACAATATTACATCCCTACTTAGGATCAGTATTAGGATTTATATTCCTGATCTCAAAGGACTCCACTCTAATGTGCATAATTCGTGTGTCTAGACTAAAGGGTTTTGTCAACAAAAGTGGACTTTTGTCGACAAAACTGTACCTGCATCTACACTACCACCGAGTTCAGACGAATTAACGTCGACAGAATTCGGCAGTTTTGTCGACGGCAGTAAACCTCATTCTACGAGGATTAACGCCTTTTGTCGGCAGAGTCCTGCTGACAGAAGGCATTATCGCATCTATACTGTCCTTTGCGTCTACACTCTCATAGCGGCTTGCTTTGTCGACAGAACTGGATGTCCACAAGAGCCAGTAGTCTAGACGTACCCAATATCAGGAACCCTTGGGCACAGCTATTCTAGCCAGGCAAACATTTCAGACAAATAAACTGCCAGCCCCCTTCCTTATTCAACCTAGGAAAGCCAATCACTGGAAATAACCAACTTTTCTCTCGTTTGAGACCGAATACAGATTTAGAACCCAAACAAATAGCTTTTTCCTTTGGAAATACACCCGGTGATTTCACGGAGCCTATTGCTCAGGTAAGGAGCTTGAAAAGATTTTGCTTTTTGTTGTTGTTTTTTAGAAACGTCTTTGCAAACAAACCAGCGCCCTTGCAGACTGTTGTCAGTTCCATGCTCGTGCAAAGTTTCCCTTTGCAGAGCTTTTTGAAGGCACACATTTTTGAGGTAAAAATGAGCTAAGATGACTCATTTTAATGACATCTGGTCTATAGAAGGGGAGGACTTCAGATCTGGAGGTGGTTAAAGCACTGTTTCTTTTTAATAACGACGAAGTACTCTTAGTAGACTTACCCAAAGTAATTGTGATTTATGCTCTATTTTAGAAGCGCCGTCACGTTATCTACATTAGTTCAAACGCAACTTTTCAAAAAGGATTCTCTTCTTTTAGCCATTGTTTGTATTACCATCATAGAAACACTGTTCTCTTACTAATTTTGTATAATTTGGCAAATACAGATTTTTCTCCTGCAGTTCTAAAGAAGCTTGGAACTATCATCTTCCTTTTGTTTAGCCATTGCACTGATGTCAACAACAAAGTGGCTGTGTCATATCCTTTGCATGCCCTCGAGGGCACTGCAGTCTGATCACACTATTTTTTAAAATGTAGGTCCTACATCAACTACATTACTGTATTAAAATAAGCTCACTAACCTGTATTCCTTTCCCCTTCCTCCCCTGCCACCCCCTTCCTGCCATCTCAACAGCTCCTTAGAATCGGAAAGCTATTACAAATTAAAAATATTATTAGCAATATTTATTTGGCAGCACACAGACGATGACAGACTGGCCTTTTCAAGTCAGTTTATATTTTCTGCGATGACTTGCAGTTTGGATCAGAAAAGTTACTGGTCCGTCGGTATGGTTTACGAATAAAGCTCTTCCATCAGGCATTTTAAGACTCAGAAAAGCCTCTAGGATTATCTATTCTGAACCCTGGGCCCAGGGAATTTCACCAAACGATTCCTGCAGCTAGCCCACAACTTCAGCTTGAGCGACAGCCTAGCTTTCAGACAGACAACCAATCCTCAATCTAGCGTCTTCAGCCTGTGATGAAGGATTCACTGCATCACTTCATGGAGCGGATTTCACAGAAAAGTACTGAATTACGGATATGCAACAGTAAGAAAGGAAACGGCGTATTTCACAAGTTTACCACAGAACTCTCACTTTGCTTGGGTTACAAAGGGCAGCACTGAGTTAGCGCTCTTCCTTTTCTCTTTCAGGCAGGGCCTCTTTAGAAAAAAACCTCTCCAGAGTCCATTGTAAGCACCCGTCAGAGGTGCCACAGAACATCACGTGATGCATCTTCCATCTAGCCTTCTGAACTGCCAGCCTCTACGGCCTGGCAAGGGAGGAGCCAAGGAACAGACCCTCTGACTAATTTCAATGGCTTTACAGAAAGATGCTTGCTCCATCTTAAACTACTTTTTGGACTGTTCACTGGAATACTGTGGTAAACTTGTGAAAAACCCAAGGATTGGTTCTAGAGTCAGTTTTGTTCAACATCTTTATTAATGATCTGGATGAGGGGATGGATTGCACCCTCAGCAAGTTCGCAGATGACACTAAGCTAGGGGGAGAGGTAGAGATGCTGGAGGGTAGGGATAGGGCCCAGAGTGACCTGGACAGATTAGAGGATTGGGTCACAAGAAATCTGATGAGGTTCAACAAGGACAAGTGCAGAGTCCTGCACTTTGGAGGGAAGAATCCCAAACATTGTTACCAGGCTGGGGACCGACTGGCTAAGGAGCAGTTCTGCAGAAAAGGACCTGAGGATTACAGTGGAGGAGAAGCTGGATATGAGTCAACAGGGTGCCCTTGTAGCCAAGAGGGCTAATGGCATATTAGATTGCATTAGAGGGAGCATTGACAGCAGATCTAGAGAAGTGTTTATTTCCCTTTATTCGGAAGTGGTGAGGCCACATCTGGAGTATTGTGTCCTGTTCTGGGCCCCTCAGTACAAAAAGGATGTGGACGCTTTGGAGAGGGTCCAGTGGAGGGGGACCAAAATGATTAGGGGGCTGGAGCATATGACCTACAAGGAGAGGCTGAGGGAGTTGGGTCTGTTTAGTCTGCAGAAGCGAAGCAAAGAGCGAGGGGGGGTTTGAGAGCAGCCTTCAACTTCCTGAAGGGAGGTCCCAAGGAGGATGGAGAGAGGCTGTTCTCAGTGGTGACGGATGCAGAACAAGGAGCAATGGTCTCAAGTTACAATGGGAGAGGTCTAGGTTGGATATTAAGAAAAACTGTTTCCCGAGGAGGGTGGGGAAGCGCTGGGATGGGTTCCCTAGGGAGGGGGTGGAATCTCCATCCCTAGAGGTTTTTAAGTCCCAGCTTGACGAAGCCTTGGCTGGGATGATTGAGTTGGGGTTGGTCCTGCCTTGGGCAGGGGGCTGGATCGATGACTCCTGAGGTCTCTTCCAGCCCTAGGATTCTATGACGCGGTAGAGGTCCGCTAACGACTATCGCTTAACTCAGCAGGCAATCATAGCAGAAATCCTTGTTGATATCATTAGCTCTCTGCATTAAAAAAGCTCCAAAGGAACGCGGCACATTTACAGCCACGCGGCACGGTCAGCCGCCCCACGAGTGAGAACACGGAGCAGTCACTCAAAGAAGAAACAAAGGTTGTGTCTACACTGCAGTGAGGAGCCTGTGGCTGGGTCCATCCTGGCTGACCTGGGCTAATGGGCTGCTTAATGGTGGAGTAGATATTTGGGCTTGGGCTGCGATCCAGGCTCTGGGACCCCACCAGTGTGCAGCATTTTAGAGTCCAGACTCCAGCACGAGCTCAAAGGTCTATACTGCGATTAAACAATCCTGTAGCCAAGTCAGCCAGCGGAAGGCTGCCGCAGGGTCTAACAGCAGGGTAGCCATACCCAAAGAGTCCTCTGCTTGCCCCTCCCTCAGGAGAAAAGCATCCCTCCTGGGGTGCACCACAACACTACATGCTACAAGGGGACAAATACGGGGATTCTGCCACTCAACATAGGCAAGACCAACCAAGAGTCGGCAGGTCTATCCCAGAGCTACCCAGGAACCAAGCCTAGAGAACACCGAAGCAACTTGGATGGAGCTGCCGCAGGACAGGAATTCCACCTCATTTGAATGATCGTGAAAAGAATGCAGGGAGAACGATGAGAATTGCTTTTCAATCCTTTCTAGCTTTGTCACTACCCTCACATCACATTCAGCACTTTGCGATCAGTATCAACATAAATCCCTTCACATATCAAACCGTTTTCACACCTTGCTCTAGGAAGAGAGCCTGGCTTTTTCGTACACACTATGTAACTTAAAGGTCTTACCAGAACTTCAGGAAGCACAGTGGCAGTAAGCTGTTTGTCATTGATCATTGTGTCTTTAGCTAGCATATATATTCTTTCAGCTTCGGAAAAACACGAAATTTCAAGTACAACAGCACCTGTAACAAATGTATTAAAGGAAATCTTTAGTTGCAAATGGACTGCCTTAATAGGAGGGAGGGAAGATGACCACGCAAGAAATTTGTTTTACAGTACTTAAGAAAATATAAGAAACTCATCCAGTGTAGTAAATTGATTTCCAATACTGTCAAGTCCAATCAATATCCAATTCAAAAGCTCCCCAACACTGAAAACTAAAAGGAGAAACCAAACCAAAACAGCCTGGAAGGGCATAACAAGTGGGGTTCAACAGGGATTAGTTTTGGGGCCGGTTTTGTTCATAGACTTCATCAACGATTTAGGTAATGGCTTAGAGAATACGCTTATAAAATGCACAGATGATACCAAGCTGGGAGGGGTTGCGAGTGCTTTGGAGGATGGGGTCATAATTCCAAATGATCTGGACAAACTAGAGAAATGGTCTGAAGTAAATAAGATGAAGTTCAATAAAGACAAATGCAAAGTGCTCCACTTCGGGAGGAACAATTCATTTTGCACACAGAATGGGAAGTGACTGTCTAGGAAGGAGTCCTGCAGAAAGGGATCTAGGGGTCAGAGAGGACCACAAGCTAAATTTGAGTCAACAGTGACACTGTTGAAAAAAACAAACCCACCATTATTCTGGGATGCATTAACAGGAGTGTTGTGAGCAAGACACAAAAAGTCGTTCTTCCGCTCTACTCTGTGCTGATTAGGCCTCAGTTGTAGTACTGTGTCCAGTTCTGGGTACCACATTTCAGGAAAAATGCGGAGAAACTGGAGAGGGTCCAGAGAAGAGCAAGAAGAAGAAATAAAGGTCTAGAAAACATGAGCTGTGAGGGAAGACTGAAATAACTGCATTTGTTTAGTCTGGAAAAGAGAAGACTGAGAAGAGACATGATAGCAGGGTGTTACAAGGAGGAGAAAGAAAACAATTTCTCCTTAGCCTCTGAGGATAGGACAAGCAGCAATGGGCTTGCATTGCAGCAAGGGAGGTTTAGGTTGGACATGAGGAAAAACTTCCTGTCAGGGTGGTTAAACACTGGAATAAATTGCCTGAGGAGGTTGTGGACACTCTATCATTAGAGATATTTAAGAGCAGGTTAGACAAACATCTATCAGGGATGATCGATATGGTGCTTGGTCCTGCCGTGAGCGCAAGGGACTGGGTTTGATGATCTCTCAAAGTCCCTTCCAGTTCTAGTGTTCTATTCTATGATTCTTTCAAAGATAACAGATTAGCCTTCTCATGTCCAGTGTATTTATTATTTAAAACTAAAATGCTGGATCTGTGAAACACTGACCTTGAAATTCCGGGGGTATTTTTCTAGGTTTAACGATGAACCAATTCTAACATCTTATTTTTTAAAAGGACAGAATGAGAGGAGGATGTACGGCAATTGCCTGTAACAATTACTGTTGTAGTTATTTGAAATTAACATTAAAAGCTCACTTTTAACAAACACATCTTCATCACAGCCCTACGAAGCATGACACCATCTTATTAAAAATAGGGTTGCAGGAAAGTACAGTGTGGCTTATATAAATACACAATGATTTACATCTGATTTGTAAAGATTTTTGGGTTGATAAGATCGCTAATGCATTCTCTCATCTCTGAGCTTTGAGCAGGTGTCAGAATTTCTGAGGTTGGTACACTTTTACAAGAATGAGCCTGGTTTAAAATCTTAGGAGCTTACCTTGCACTGCGTAAACATGACTCACAGAAAGCAGGTTTGCTGCAAAAATTAAAAGAGCATGTACTTCAGACTTAGGGTACATGAACTGCAAACATTAAAAGCACTTATTTCAAATAAAAAAACCTTCTAAATCGCAAAAAAAACCAGCATCTCCAACTAACCCACCAACACTCGTGCTCTTCCAAAGTTACCTTAAAAGCTGGCAATTGTTTTTAAAATTCTGTACAAGTAGAAGACAAGACCACCACGGTGTTTAACTTTGAAAAGTAAAAGCTACATGAGACTGCAAAAAGATCAATTTGTGTACCCAAACAAGCTCCAAAGTGAATTCTCAATACTTTAGGCAGAACAGATCAGTTGTAATAAAGACAAAATTATTAAACGTATACTCCCTTTCACTTCTGAATTAAGCTGCGTTGCCACAATTTGAACTCAATTAACACGCATGCTAGATGACAGATAGTGTTAACGTATCAGTGCACCTCACTAAATTTACCTTCCCGAAGGAAGTTAACTCCCATGCGGTACTCTTGGGGACTTATTAATATAATCTTACTTATGCTTCGATTAAAAATAAATCCTGATTTTCGGCTTGTTACTTTTAAAGAGAACACATTCATTTAGATAGAAAGTAAAGGTATGTTTAAAAAAAAAAAAAAAAGGATAAAAAGGTCAGTGGAATCAAACATATATAATGCAACTCCAGTGTCCTCTCAAACCACCAGCAAGCCGATCCATTTCTGTTTCTTACACAGAACTGTCAGTAGGTTAAGACAGGAGCAGAGGGGAAAAAATCACTATTTTCAGAGGAAACCAAAGGGGGGGAAAAAAGCCATTTTTCAAAATGACATTCGCTTACAAGAGGCCACAAGTATGCACAAAGAAAAACTGAAAGAGGAAGAGCAGAGTTTTACTTCAGCACGTTATTCTATGTGTCACATCAGAGCCAGCCTACCCTGGGATGGTACAGGGCAGCCGCTTCAGGCTCACAGCAGCCCCCTCAACTGTCCTATGGATGGGTCTTGAGACAGCCAGAGGATTTATCCGGGGGGAAGCGGGGAGACTGGCTTGTGGTGCTCAGGGGAGGGGGCTTCGGAAAGGGGGCAGGATGGAGCAGGGACAGGGTGTTTCCCCTCGCCCCCCAGGGACAGCCCTATATAAGAATAAACAGTAAAATCAAGGCCTCATAGTCCAAAGATAATACTATTTGACTTACTTTTGATAGCTAATTCCTCCTTGAGGATGTTAGTGTATTCTTCAGCAGAGAGCTGAGGTGGCAAGCCGCCCACAAACAAACGTACCCGCACGACAGATTTATTATTTTCTACCATGTAAAATCTTGTTTGATTCATCTGACGTATTGAAGTCTACAAAAGGAAAGCCAGAATGTGTCATGTTACGAGGTATATCACGGGGAAACCCACAACGCCATTACAAATCAATTCCTCTATCTCTGAAGCAACACCACCCATAACCCGGAATGTGTGTTCTGAAAGAATTACCAATTACAACAATTTATGCTCCTAAACCTATCAACTCTGTTTATGAGCCTATATAGAAGTTACTGCCCCTCAGTTCAATGAAAATTACCCAGAATTTGAGAAAAAAAATTCACGTAGCCACTTGGAAAGCACAAATAAGATTAACTTTTTTTTTTTTTACCTTTCTTATGTCCCTAAGTCTGCCCAGAATCTTCTCCTGGTTATCCAGCACCATTCGCTGAACTAGAGAAATAAAAACCATGATAGTGTTTTTCTTTAAAAAAATCTGAATTACATAACTCAGTTGAGATGCAAACGCACATAAGAGTACCATTTTAAGGAAATTAACATTGGACCTATGTTTTACCACTTTCTTTAAAATTAAACACGAGTAGAATTATGAAAATACAAGCTACAATTTATGTTCAATGGCAAAACTAGAGAGCTGGTGAAACTTCTCATGCAAATCATTTTTTCCCTAAAAAAAGAAAAAAAATTCAGATGCGTCTTCACCGAAATAATTAGCACATTCAGGTTAATTTTGGCAAACTGCTTGGGTCAAATAAAAAATTGCAGTAACTTCACTGTGTCAGCATTTGAAAAATGAAAATGTTTCAACTTCTTGTTTTGGAATTTCACGGTTCTCTTGAAAAATTTAAAAGGTTAAACAGGACTCAAAAACAAAATACAACTTTTCTTTCAATCCCATTTAAAAAAAAAAAAAAAAACTTTTCCTTTTTGCCAGGGTGGAGGGTGGGCAGGGAGGAGAAACAAAACAAAACTCCATTTTGGTTTGTCTTTAACTGTTTTTTCTTCTTCCCCCATGAATGTTTGCTTTGGCCACTAACCTAAAAAACCTCCCCATTCTTGCACACCTCTCCAGAAAACACAGCCTTGCTATGTGCTTTCTTTTGGTACAAAGAAGGAAGAATAGAGTACCAAACACAAAATCTATGGTGATGAATTTAAAAACCACAAACATTTCTGATCCAATATTTCAACATTTTTCAGCTCAGAAATATATTCAATGTCTTTCAGTTATTGGAGGATGACCTGCACAAATTAAATATGGATATATTAAAATTAAAATACATAAACTAATACTATAGGACTCAACTACAGTTATTCACTGGGAAGGAAAAGTATCTCTCAACTTACCTTGCTTACTGCCCATGAGTACTTCTACCAGTTTGAAATTCTGGGGGCTTTCCATCTGCCAAGAGACACCACATTTAGATGTGCAATTTGATAGAAAATAAACTTGACATAGTTTTGTCTTCTTTTAGTGGCTACAATACAACATTAACCAGTGCAAGAAAATTAAGTACTTAAAATTAACCCGAGGCACAAAATAGGTGAGGTAATAAATCACTTCTTTTGGTGAAAGAGGAAAATTGTTGAGCTCCAGAGAGTTCTATTTCAGGTCCAAACATAAAATAAAGCTCTCTGTAGTTCAAACATGTTCCTTTTTCACAGAGAGAAGTAAACCACAAAGGAAGATACCCAATTGTACTTTTTTGTCTCTGGAAAAAGCTTCCCTTTCCATTTCTGTTGTCCGTCCCACACAAAGCCTCTAACATTCTCGTTTCTTAGCCACCAACGCAACCCACAAATCAATCGGCAAGACAGCTGCTGAAGCGCCCTGTTAGTGTTCCCTGCGGAGTGCCCGATGGTGCTATTAAAGCAGTTCTGCCCCGAGGATCTAGCCATGGGGAAGGGAAAACAGCTGTCACAAACAGCAGTGAAAAATGCCAGCCCATCAAGCTAACCAGTGGAAATACAAGTTGCAAGTGAAATGTATTAATTATCTAACAGCTATTGACAGCACAGGTCCACCTTGGAGCGAAATCCTGCTGCTTGTGCAGCAGACTGTTTAAAGTCTTGATGGGGAGGAGAAGGAATATTATCTACCTACCCCAAAATCCTTGCTCAGAACCATTCAATCAGAACAGAAGAGGAACACTCATATCACACACACACACACACACACGCACACACACACACACACGCACACACACACACACACGCACACACACACACACACGCACACACACACACACACGCACACACACACACACACGCACACACACACACACACGCACACACACACACACACCCTAAGTGAGACCAAAGGTCCATGTAGCCCAGTAGCCTGTCTGCTGGAGTGGCCAATGCCAGATGCCCCAGGCAGCTGCTATCCTTACTACTGAAAGAATTTAATAATCTGATTGCCCTCCACTACCCTAGTTCTATCAGCTACAGGGGACTGGTGAACGCGTACACAATCCGGCATCACAATTGCTATAGAGGAGACTTTTGGGACAAGAAACCTGGGCTTAAACTGCAGCAAAGGAGGTTTAGGTTGGACATTAGGAAAAAGTTCCGAACTGTCGGGGTGGTCAAACACTGGAATAAATTGCCCAGGGAGGTTGTGGAATCCCCATCTCTGGAGATATTTAGATAAGATATTTAGATATTTCGATATTTAGAGTAGGTTAGATAAATGTCTATCAGGGATGGTCTAGACAGTATTCGAAGAAAAAGTACAAAATCCCTACATCACCTAGGTTTACTATAGATGTATTAATTTAGGCTTAGGGTGCTTGGAACCGCTAAGGACTTCAACATCCAAAAGCTTTGGCGAATCATCCATCAAGAGCTGACGTACAAATTCTCCCGCCTTGCCAATTCACCACAGCCTTTAATTGGTTAAGCTTGGCCTTAGTCCAGGGAAGATAATGCCCGACATTTTGCAAAATACACATTTTCTTTGGAATGAACTCTTAGGATAGTTCACAGGGAGTCCAAAGAAATTCTTAGGAGCTTTACATTGCTTACCTGCCGTCCTAGTAGTGGAAGAACTTCTTTAATTACTGTCTCAGTGGTGCTTTCCTTATTTATCACTAGAGAGATGTATGCCATTCCCACTCTAGACAAAAAATATGTAAAATTACAATAACATATGCAGGGTGGGTTAGCTCAGGGTAGGGTACCGAGATCCATCCATCTCCTCCTCCACAATTCCAGCAAGGACAGACATTCAACTCATGATGCCATTTGGGAGGAAAGATGCATCTATACCATGGAAGTGACTATACATGGATTGGTCTCCTTTCACTCTGGAGGATGCACAAAATACAAAGCCACTTCAGAAGTAAAAAAATAAATCAGATCATATTTAATCATCTCACCTGTTCCTAACACAGAAAAGAATCTGACATTCATCCGTTTTGGTTAATGTCCCCTTTCAAAAAACAAACACTCACAATTAAGCTTCTGCTTGTTATTTGGACACAGATTCAATTAGCTCGAAAAGACATGGCTCTTTGGGAGTGACAAATGCACTAAAACTAATTAAGCTGTGGGACCTGCCTTGATTTTGCAAAGGGACCAGATGACACTTTAGCGTGCATGATTGAGGGCTACATCCATGGAAGAGTTAACGGAAAGGTCTAGAAACAAAGAAAAATGAAAGCGTAAATCTCAATCAACTTGTGGAACTCCTTGCCAGAGGAGGCTGTGAAGACCAGGACTGGAATAGGGTTCAAAAAAGAGCTAGATAAATTCATGAAGGTTAGGCCCATCAATGGGTATTAGCCAGGAATTAGGTAGGGATGGTGTCGCTAGCCTCTGTTTGCCAGAGGTTGGAAATGGACGACAGGAGAGGGATCACTTGATGACTGCCTGTTCTGTTCGCTCCTTGGGAGGCATCAGGCACTGGTCACTGTTGGAAGACAGGACAGTGGGCTAGATGGATCTTTGGTCTGATCCATATGGCCCTTCTTATGCTATACCAACACAGATCCTTGAAATGTAGCAGAGTGGATTTTGTCCTCCATTACAAGGGGGCAACTTCAATGCCTGGCCACCACAGAAAGCTATGCTGGCTAGGCAGAGGGACCTTGCAGAAAGAAGGAAAGCACTCACTTCAGCCACCCGGGATAAATTCTTAGTACTTCTTGCTCTCTCGATTTGGCTCTGATGATCCACGCTTCGGGCACCGCCTCTCGGAACACGGGGCCAGAGCTGGTTTCTTCTGCACCGTTGTTTCTGTTGATGACGTCATCAGAAAACAAGGTCTGCTGAGTAAAAGTCTGGAGCTCATAGTGCTGTTGATCGTCGTTGATGTAGTATGCTCTCAGCGCGGCCTCCTACGACACCACATAGAACAGAGCAATTGACTCGCCTCTGAAAACGTTCATCAGTTATGAAATTCAGCTACTTTGCCATCTTGAAAAGATTTTTCTAGAAGGACGGAAAAACTGGGGCGCAGCCGGGTCTGCGGTGCCAGGAGAGGCAGGAAGCTGCCTTAGCCTCCCTGCTGCAGTGCTGACTGGAAGCCGCTCTAGGTGAGACCCTCCTGTCCCAGCCCTGACCCACCCCGCAAAGACAGAGCCCCCTCCTACACGCTGAAGCTCTCCTCTTCAGCCCCACCCCAGAGCCCACACTCCTGTCAAATTATGTCAGGTCACGGGCATCAATTTTCTTAAGCTGAGAACTGAGAAGAAAAAGTTTGAAAACCGCTGCACTATCAGACAAAACAGTTATCCATTTCAGAGTCGCTTACCACAACCTCTTCACTTTTTGCAATCCTTGCAACGGAAATCAGTCGAAATTGATTGCGTTTTACTGCATCGTTCCCATCAAATATCTTTAATGTTTGTTTACCTACAGAAAATAAAGGATTACACGACCATAACAACATCGAATACCATCATACCTCAATAAGTACGCAGCCCGTGACTGGACAATACAACTCACAAAAATCTGCTCTCAGTTAGTTTTAAAGAACAACCTATCTTTGCATTCTCTTAAGTTTACTTTCATTTTCCTGCTGTTGGGCTAAAATGTAACTCAACTACGGTCAAGTGTATGTAACTTAATACCAGCTGGAGAAGGCATCCATGTAGTGCTATCAATGAGTTCCTCTCAGTGTGACAGTGGTAAGCAATACAGATTTGGGTGTGATTCCCAGGCCTCATGTCTCCCTGGTTCTGCTATTCACAATGGCAATATTGTTCCAACGGGTGCAAGGGCCAAACTCTTATCTATATTACATTTTTACAAGGCATGTGTTATGAACACGGGCCTTCATGCACAAGTGGCTCCAAGTGCCCTGTTTACGCTCCCTGTTACAACCGCAGCTGCTACGGCTCTGAAAGAAACCAGATGTGGGATAAAAAATGTCCAGCTCTGTGTGATGACAAGCAAAGCGAGAGGAGCCGAAAAGGCTGTCATGAGGGGGGGAAGTTTGGATGCTTTCGCTGGCTGAAATGTCTTCTGGGTGGTTCATTTGGTCTTTAAATTGCACCCTCTTCTCACTCAAAAGGCCGTCCGTCATGGTCGCTCACGCAAAAGGCCATCTATCCTGAGGATCTTCCCTCTGCCTTACTATGGTTAGGGCCAGCTTGAGGGAAAAGGGAATCCTGGGCCAACTTGTGTTTTGGTCCCCCCGCGGCCACATAGGCATGGCACCCCTCAATTTCCCTTGGCACCTATGGGCTCCCCAATACCTACACTAGCGATGAAAAATCCTGCTTAAACAATTTAACCAGTTAAACATTATGCAGCTCTGGCCGGGCTGCAGCGCCCCCTACCTGAGGCGCAGCGGGTTGCTCCAGCCAGGCCAGGCCTGCTCAGGACAGGTCAGGCTTTAGCAACCTATTCTACGGCCTTTTCTTTCAATAAACTGTTCAAGGAAATGAGAGATTAACAACAACTGATATCAAACCCAGAGCAATCAACGGTGCAAAAATTGCACTGCCCAGTTGCCAATGGACTTCAGTCCTGAAATACAAACACCACTATATTGATTGGCCTCACCTCCGCAGAAGGTAGAACTTTTTTTGCTTATGTCCTTGGTAAGATTTGAACCCACGTATCCACAGATGAAAGGCTAGTGCTTAAAAGAAACATCTTGCCTGCCCTCCAAACATATCACTTAACATCCCGGGATCGTGAAATAGACACGATTTTTTAGTTGCTACCGCCAGAGATGGTTAGATGCGATTTACCAACAATACTACTTATAAAAGCGATTACAGGACAGAGATACTGACCCATGGAAATCATCCCTAGAGAAGCTGGATTGCAATGATTTAACTCATTCATTCATGAATGCCGTCACCTCTTTTCACTACAATGCTCGAGTGGATTTCACAGAAAGTCCTATCCCTTATCACGTCATACGCATAAAAATGTCCTGACCCAACATTGAATACGCAGGAAGATCTGTAATTACTATTAGCACATAATTGTCTGACCAGAGTGAAGCTTTCTTTACAAGCCCTATTTTTTTTTTTCTAATGAAGATCAGGTTAAGGGCATATAATAAAGGCTGCAGTGAGCCAATATTCCCAACTCACTAAAATTCGACTTACTTGATTCTGTTGAAATTTGGGCATCTTTCACAGACGCCTGTGTTAAGCCATCAACATCCTCATCTTCATCTGTAGAAAGACAAGTTTCAAGGAGGTGGTTAGCTTTTAGTTTGAGCTGCACTAAACAACAGTTTAGTCTTATTTAAAATAGTTTTATGGAAAAGATAGCGACAACAAAAGTCACAGGGTAGGCACACATTATAACTGAGCATTTTTCCTTCTTCTAGTACTTTTATTTACAATGAAACTCACCATTAAACATAGCAATGAATGTATGTAACACACACTGACAATAGGCAATAACATGTAACAACTGAGTGTGTGTGAGAAAGAAAAATTCTCTCATTGATTGTCTCAATATTACTACCTTCAAATGTCATCCTTTTTGCAACCCTGCCTAGGGAGGTTGTGGAATCTCCATCTCTGGAGATATTTAAGAGCAGGTTAGACAGACACCTGTCAGGGAGGATCTAGACGATGGTACTGGGTCCTGCCGTGAGGGCAGGGGACTGGACTCGATGACCTCTCGAGGTCCCTTCCAGTTCTAGTGTTCTAGGATTCTATGTGTGCCTATAAATTAAAAGTATTTTTTCTGATATGTTTTAAATGACCAAATTATAACAGGAATCAGAGTATTAAATTGTTTTCAATCAGATCTATGCATTTAATAAAAACAATTCTGTAACTAAATAGTTACAAAATAACACAGAATTTTGTTTATCCAGTTCTAGAAAAGAACACTTAGGGGAATTTATTACTTAAAACTGAGGTTCACTGTATTAGATGGCTTATAGTTTGTTTTTATAGCCTTAAAAATGTACGGAGGCAACTTAAATTTGGATAATGCAACTTTGTAAAATAAGCATATATAATCAGAAGAATTATAATGGAGAAAACCTTTGTCTGCTACTTAATATAACAAAGCTAGTTACCATCCTTAAAGTATAAAAATAATTGTTAAGGAGAAATTTAAGTTTACATTTGGGATGTTTGAAATTTAAAGCCTAAAAAGAAACAAGGCATAAGAACATCCTGGCTCCAGAAAACTAAAAGAAATAAGCAGCGCGCGCTCTAGGTGGCAGCAAAATGTTATCCTACAAATTAAATCCCTTCCACATGGAATTGGCAAATGTTTCATTACAAACATGGAAAGCAAAATACTGACTGTCATGAAGTACTAAATAAAAACAGTACTCACATCAATGATTGGTTATATCAGCACCATCTTCCTAGTTTGCCAACCAAAACTCACGTCTACCGTTTCCTCAATGCACACTACAACTGTTGCTTATATGATAAATTACTAAATGTATGCGAGGGTGAGGGGTAGGAATGTGAAGAGGTAACTGGTTAACCTTACTGGGTGATGCTTATCGGCTAGCGGTTAACCGGTCCTCGGAAGCAGCCTCCCTTCACAGGCCAGGGCTGGAGCCGGCTGGTGGGGTCCCCCACCCGGGACCCCACTTTATCAGTTCAACCTAACGTTTAACCAGTTAACTGATTAAACGGGATTTTACACTCCTGGCGAGGGGAAGAAATATTTGATCGAAAAAGGTGCTTAAAATGCAGTTGCTTTCTACTCCCTTCCCTTGAGATGTAGTTTTCCTGTAAATGTAGAAGCTACTTCATCTCTGGAATAAATTGAGGCTACAGCCTAAGACATGATTTTGTTCACAAAACCCCCCCAAAACCCTTAAAAAAACCCGAGGAGTCCTGTGGCACCTTAGACACAAACAGATTTATTAGGGAATAAGCGTTAAGTGGGTAAAACCTCCCTCATCTGATGAAGCAGGGGTTTGTCCATGGAAGCTCATGATCCTATATATTTGTTAGTCTCTAAGTTGCCCCAGGACTGATTGTTGTTTCTAAAGTTACAGACTAGCACAGCAGCCCCTCTGGGGGGGAAAAAAAAAAAAAGAATCTCCATCAAAAAGTCCTGTGTTTGTACATTTTCTTTAGAACATGTTATAGCAAGAAAACCAGGGCACCTACATATTTACCGTCAAACTCAGTTGAATTAATGCCAAATAGTCAAGCAGAAACAAGAATTTAGCAAAGGTATTCTATGTAGAAGCCACTTTATGTAGCAGTAGTAACAGGCTTAGCAAGTAACAGATTCATATTACATCCTCAAAAAAGACAAACTACATCATCAACAACATTAAGAGATTCAGTTAAGATACGGATGTAAAACATAATAACTGCACATGTTTAGCACTTTATTGGATACAGTTTTTAAAGTCTTTACCTGGTTCTGTTTGCAGGCTCTCTGATATCCGAAAACAGTGCATTTTGCTGAAATTGCGAGAAACCAAACGCACACAATTTGGAGGAAGGATCATGTCCCTTAGTCTTCCAAAAGTACATTCTGGTGGCACAATAATGTAGCAAGAAGCGTGAGCCTATAAATAGACACAACATTAAACACTGCTCAAACCTCAGACATTTAACTGGTAAAAAAAAAAAGTTCTCGCTGTAACCAAACAGTCAGTGCTTTGCAAACCACACTGGAACACACTCGTATTTATTGTAAACTGCTCCATCTCTTTTGCTATGAATGCAGCTGCATCCACTGGCATAAGATTTGATTTTAACTCACTATATTTGTATTGACATAACAGGGAGAATTCCTTACATGTGAAGACACTTTACAAGTTTTAAAACACTCCATTGAAATCGCAAAGTTAACATACATAGATATATAGGAACAACTGTTAGATTGTTTTGCATCTGATCCATTCACAAGTGAGAAGAGGATCAAAACATGGATACGTGTGTTATAATTAATCTGGTTGGGAGTCAGAGGCTGCAATTTCCTCTCGGGGTTTTAGTTTCCTCGATAAATTCAGGAATTGTCCTTTCTGGAGCTTATATTATCAGCTCAGACCTTAGAGTAAATTTCTGCCTTCCGTTTATCCTAGGCCATCTATTTAACCTTAGAATCACAATATGGTCAATACATATGATAAGCTGCTGAAGAAAGCCAGTAAAAGAAGTTTGGGGAAAAAATCCACCATTTTTCTTTGAAAAACTGAAGTACTATAGAAACAATGTTATTCTTTAAAAACTGAAATAATATATACAACATTATTTATTTTTAAAAGTCATTTTGAATATCTACATAATTCAGATAAAATATTCCTGATCATTCCTGATCAACTGATGAATTGTTTAGCCTTAAAAAAAGGTATTTTTAAAGAAATTAGAACAGTGTAGGAATTCAAAAATAGTTTTTTTAATTATTAAACATATTTTTCACTTCCCTTCCCTAACAGTTTGGGTGTTATTTCCCTGCACTCTTTCTATGTTTCAACCCCTAGGCGACAAATAATGGATGCAGGGACCCCTATGTACAGAGTAGGTTGTATATCAGTTTTACATCAGTAACGAGTTTTGGCTCGCTTCTGGATGAGACACAGCACACAAAGGTAGGATCGTTTTATGACATAGGGGAATCAAATATTAGCATTACAAAAGGGTGGACACAAAATCAAATACACGGTAGGAAATATTGGTAACAGTTTCCAGGGTTCAGCCACATGCCATGCTGACGGACTGAACACAAAGAGGTTAGAATGAGGGATTCTATGCAATCAGCAGCCTGTATGTTTGTTTCTTTTATCCACAACACAAGGACTAGCTTGTAATATACCAACTGTGCGACAGCCACAAGACACAAAGCAGAGCAGCAGCCGTGTACTGAATGAAGAAGCCTCAGCATAAGACCAAAGAACCCCATTAAGACACAACATGACGGATGTCTTCATTTTATCCCCTTCTTTTAAAATTCCTCCTTTTTGGAGACTACAGAAAACAAACCCCAGACTCACTTTGGCTCTGATTTACTGTGCATCATCTAACAAATGCCTGACTTACGCCTGGCCAGCTTGAAATATAGAACATCAACAAGGCTTTTATTTCCACCGGCATGCCTAACGACGCTGACGTACCAGAATGCCGCACCACTCACATCTCATGCCAGAGAGCACCTCTGAGGAACCACAGGTTTTCTTGCACACCTCACAGCGAGCACTGGACGAAAGAATTCCCTCCCTCCAGTGGTGATGGTAGGTATCCTGAGAAAATGGATCAATCAATTGCATTATACCCAATGGGAAAACACGGCTGTGTCCCTAAATTAGTAAAAAGCTTGAGGAAAAACATCATAGAACGTCGCGCATATTTAATGAATTTAATACACGAAAAGAAAGTATTTTCCTATTGAAATACAGCGTAAGCAAGTTTGCAGCAGTCCATTAAAGTTGTGCAGTAAATCAAGGATAAAGAAGTCTTGCTGTCTTGTTTTTTGCTGAGTGTTGTACTATCGAGCCCTGTCATAAATGCATCAATTCACAGAACACTATTTGGCATTGAAATAGTTCCATCTGCTCAGCCCAAAATTCGATCTCTAAATATTCGGCGAAGTTGGAAGGAAACTTTTACAGATTAAAAACTGGAGGAGCAAACATTAAACATCTTGCCTGAGTCACCAGCAGCGGAGAGTCAGAGGAACAGACCTCTGAAACATGTGGCCTCTATAATAATTCTCTGTCCTTGGGCTGTTTCACACGGCACTACCACTCAAAATGCAGAAAAGCCATAGCAAAAGGATGAAAGACAAAACCATCCCATCAGCTGTGAGGAGACCCTTTCCACAAAGCTGCCACTCTGTGCCTGCCCTCACAGTTGTCACCCTAAAAGGAAAGCTGGCAACGCTTTCAAAACACAAGTATGGGAGCTCAAACCTTTGCTAGACTCGCAGGGCACATCTACACTACACTGCCGCAGTCGACCTTCTGGGGTTCGACTGAGCGGGTCTAGCGCAGACCCGCTAAATCGAACTCAGGACGCGTCGAACTCCAGTCGGCCTCCCGCTGTGTGGACGGCACGGAAGCACAATGTAAGATACATAGCTGGAGTCGATGTAACTTCCGGAGCTGGAGTTGCATATCTTACTTTGACCTTCTGATGCAGTATAGACCAGGCCTATAAGTTACTGACTGAAGAGAGATAGTGTAGCTATGGTTTATTACTCCAGCTCACTAACAGCCCTCTACACCATAGCTGCTTCCCAACCCCCAAGGACTGGTGAGGTGTTAACAGGTCACTTCAATGGTTGTCAGCCAGGGGCCCAGGGGCCCCGGAGGGCTACAAGAAGTTTTAGGGGGTCCACCAAGCAGGGCCAGCATTAGACCTTTTGGCCTTGGAAAGGGTTCAGAAAAGGGCAACTAAAATGATTAGGGGTTTGGAACGGGTCCCATATGAGGAGAGGTTAAAGCGACTCGGACTTTTCAGTTTAGAAAAGAGGAGACTGAGGGGGGATATGATAGAGGTCTATAAAATCATGAGTGGTGTGGAGAGGGCCGATAAAGAAAAGTTATTTATTAGTTCCCTAAATAGAAGAACTAGAGGACACCAAATGAAATTAATGGGTAGCAGGTTTAAAACTAATAAAAGGAAGTTCTTCTTCACACAGCGTGTAGTCAACCTGTGGAACTCCTTGCCAGAGGAGGCTGTGAAGGCTAGGACTATAACAGAGTTTAAAGAGAAGCTAGATAATTTCATGGAGGTTAGGTCCATAAAAGGCTATTAGCCAGGGGATAAAATGGTGTCCTTGGCCTCTGTTTTTCAGAGGCTGGAGAGGGATGGCAGGAGACAAATCGCTTGATCATTGTCTTCGGTCCACCCTCTCTGGGGCACCTGGTGCTGGCCACTGTCTGTAGACAGGATACTGGGCTAGAAGGACCTTTGGTCTGACCCAGTACGGCCGTTCTTATGTTCTTATGTTCTAGACTTGCTGGGGCCCAAGCAGAAATCCCAAATCCCATTGCAGGGGGTCAATCCTGGGGTCCAAGCCCCACCACCCTGAGCTAAAGCCAGACCCTGAGCAACTTCGCTTCATGGGGCCCCTGTGGCGTGCAGTTCCAGGCAGCTTCCCTGCTCACTACTGCCTAATGCTGGTCCTGGCTTTTATACGCAGAAAGAGTTGGCGTGGCACAAATGGGCCATGGAGTTTTTATAGCATGTAAATAATGGGGGGAGAGCTCTCAGACCTCCTGGTCCACTTCACCTTGCATTGTCCCTTGAACTGCATGTTAACTATTTTGCTCCACCTTGCATTTAGCTGCAGCACTAAGTCTATTTCCCAGACCTGAACCAGAGCTCTGTGTAGCTTGTGTCTCTCCCCACAACAGAAGTGGGTCCAATTAAACTACTACCTCATTCACTTTGTGTCTCTAACATCCTGGGACCGACACAGCTACCAAGTGCACACAGAAAAACGTTCATTTTCATGTCAAGTTCTATCAACAGCCCACAATGTCCTATACTGAACGCTAAATCTATACACAGGAAATTACTTGGCATTCGATCTTTGGCACCTACCCCTACAACAACAATGGATCTTTTCAGAATGCCCCGTCAGTCTTCAGTACAAGAGATGGAAGACGACATTTTGGTGGAAAAAGCAACGGTGCTAACGTCACATTTAGGCCCGATTTTCAGAACCAATTAGTATCTGGCACTAACGACTGACCCCCACAAAAAGCAACGGTGCTAAGGTAACATTTAGGCCTGATTTTCAGAACCAATTAGTATCTGGCACTAACGACTGACCCCCAGGGAAGCTGCTAGCTGCTCAATATAAGCCTTGAAAGCCACTCGATTACCTTAATTTTCAGCACCCAAAGTTTTGGCTACAATTCAGAAATGAGCCACCTTTTGTACTCCGATGGTAATTATATGCATCCTGCTAGCAGCCTGGTACTGGTTAGCATTACAGCTTCACAACGCGAGAAGCAAAAGATCGGAGACAGAAGCAGCACTGGAGAAGAGAGAATTTCCATAGTCCCACCTCCAAAATGTGGTCTTTGGTTTTTTCAATAAAGCCAGATTTTCTGAATGACTCACCATATGCTTAATCTGAGCAAATATCAGTAACAAGTTGAGGGGGGAGGTGCATCAGTTCACAACAAAAGCCAACAAGATACAGGATGTATTTTTCTGTTCCTTATACATCAGGAACAGATCTACCTAAACAATGCCGCTCATGCAGTAAAGCACAGAACAGAAACTGGAGGAGGGTGTTCTTTGGGGGCCGGGGAGGGGCGGCAATTCAGATTTGTTTTCCACGGACTCTACTTCACGTTCCGCTCTAGCCTCCGAAGTTAATACTCACGTGATCCTGGTGCCCATGTTGGTGGCACTGACGACAGTCGCTGCAAGCAAACGGGAGACAATCGGCATGCACGTGGAGTTCACACACTGAAAGCAAAAAAGGAAACAGGAAATGTCTTTAACACCCGGGTTTGCTTGATTGTTTTCCTGTCTCCCCACACAGCATTTCACCTGCCATGTATGGGTCAGCACAGACAGGCAGAGTGCAAGAAACTTATCTTTGTTATGGTGTTTGTGATTCAATTTGCTTGGCGTTTAATTGATGCAACTATTATTTAACTGAAAAAAGCAAGGCTGTAGGAAACCAATGCTAATTTTGCTCTAAGCGATTTGATTCGTTCTTTCAATAAAGAGAATTACAACAATTGTCTAACTTGTTGTAAGGATGGCTATTGTCTGACTCAAAGAAACTAGCTCTCTTTTGTAATATCGCCTCTCGCCTGAAACTGGACAGTTTGCTTGAAATGAGAATATGGAGTTCAGGAAACTCTCACTAATACGAAGGGAAACTTCCTCATTTCCTACAGCTGAGGACATGCCCAACACAGAAGAGTTGCCTGCTTATCAATAAAAACAAGGACTCTGGTGGTACTTTGAACACTAATGAATTTTTATGAAACAGACTGACACAGCTACCTTTCTGACACTTACCTATAAATGATATCCAACCATGCTGAAACAGACTGACATAGCTACCTCTCTGACACTTACCTATAAATGATATCCAACCAACAAGCCACATCTCCAAAGAGCTGACATTGCAGGGGGAAGGTGGGCAGACAGCTATAAACATTCCAAACATCACATCTTCCAACTCCTTCGCTCTGCTAGTCTAACGCCTGGTCTACACTACAGGGGAAGGTCGAATTAAGACACACAACTCCAGCTATGTTAATTATGCAAACGCTCCTGTCAACGTCCCTCATTCCTCGTGAGAAGCAGGTGTTCTGGCACTGATGGGAGCGCCCTCTAAGTTTGATTTAGCGGGTCTTTACTAGACCCTCTAAATCAAACTACAGAAAATCGATCATGAGAGTGTCAATTTTCCAGGTGGTGAAGAATTGATCATGAGAGTGTCAATTTTCCAGGTGGTGAAGACGTGGCCTCAGAGAGGTCCCAAGGGATCAGCAGACATGGAGTCTGACAAAATGTGCCTTCAAAACAGAGGAAGTATAGAGTCCTGGGACACTGAATAGTGTCCTACCGCACACTTGTAACCTGATGCCTCAATAAGAGACAGGCTTCCTCCTTGCACATCCTTAGCTGGACTGGAAACAGACAATAAAACAATCACTGGAAGCAAACACCTCTGTTACACACACACACACACACACACACACACACACACAGTTGTTAAGGGAGTGCAAGGAGTTTGCACTGTCACGGCCTCTACAGTATGTTGTGCCTGCGTGTGGAGAGCCAGAGACTCATCATCAGGACTGCTTTTGACAGATCTCTTGGTTTCTGTTATTTCCACTCCAGCTCATCTGACGAAGTGGGTTTTGCCCATGAAAGGTCACGATCCTATATGTCTCTAAGGGTACATCTAGACTGCAAGTTTCTTTCGAAAGAGAGCATCCACACTTCAAAACCGTATCGAAAAAGTGATTGGCTTTTTCGAAAGAGAGCGTCCAGACTGCATGGACGCTCTCTCGAAAGAAAACCCTGATTGCTACTATTCACAAAATGGTCATCAGGGCACCTGTGCTTTTTTTCGATTGTCACCTCTTTCAAAAAATGCCCCTGTTCTGCATCCACACACGCCATTTTTCGAAAGAGCTCTTTCAAAAAAGTTGTTCTTCCTCGTAATTTGAGGTTTACCCATGTCAGAAAACCCCCCTGCATTCTTCCGATTTAATTCTGAAAGAATGCAATTGCAGTGTGGATGCAGGTGAAGTTTTCTCAAAAAAAGGGCAGTTTTTTTTCAAAAAAGCAATGTAGTCTAGACATACCCTAAGGTGCCACAGGACTGCTTGTTGTTTTTAAAGTTACGGACTAACAAGGCAACCCCTCTGAGACATATTACCAGGACTGTTACTCCAGCATCTTTAATGACAAGTGTAGTTTAGTAGGAGAGCCAGCATTATTGTAAAACCAAAAGGAAATATTTTTCCACTTGCCTCTGCCTGGCTTGTTAGGTCATCTAGGAAAGTTGGATCAGCCTTCCTCTGACTATACAAAAATACTTTGTGCGCGCAATACACAGAGATGACATTAGAGTCCACTTATAGAACTGGGTTGTCTAACAGCCAGACAGCAGAATTTTCCTTAACGTCTAAATTCTGAAAATCAACCATTTTGCTGTCAGATGCAACCAATACCTTATTTCAACGTGAATGGATTCTAGAAGAAAAGGAGAACCTCCATCCCATGCACGAGATCTGGCCAAACCTGTCAATGAGTCTGGATTTAACCAAGCCTACAAGTGTGCAAGAGATTTGGCCAAACCCGTCAATGAGTCTGGATTTAACCAAGCCTACAAGTCACCTTTTTCAGTAGCATTCAAGGACTCCACTGTCCCAACAACCTCACACAACTCCAAGAAGCTATTTCAGATCTGACACCAGTGGTCAGTCATGGTGCTAGCCATTAACAACGAGAGTCGGGCTTTCTACAGCAATCAGCCAGATCCCCATCGCGTAGGGTGAATTTTAAACGTGCTTTATTAGCTGCAAGAAATAAATATCTATAAACACGTGCTAGCTAACTGTAGCCCTACACAAAGCTGTGGATAGAATGCCCCATTGTACATCAGCAAACGACGGCCTTACGTTCAAATCTGAAAAGAATCCTTCTGAAAACTGCTATAACAAAGTATGAAATCCCTGAATAAATTAAACATTTCCTAGCTTGCCTGCAAGTTCTAAAGTATAGTTCTACCCCAGCATTGATGAGGTGTTTAAAAAAAAAAAGATATTGTGCAGTTCCAGGATTGTTATTTGTCTGATTCTTTTTTGAACGACACATTTGATAAGGAAAATGTTGACAGTTTTACAAAGTCAACCGAGACAAGCCAAGTTCTTTCCATCCCACACATCACTCCCAGTAACAAAGTCTCTGCAAACCAAACTATGACTTCAGTGAGGTTACACAAGTGTAGCTGAGCGGACCGTAGCAACAATTCTGTTGTTGATACACTTGGCAGAGTAGAACCGGCAGCTCCCTTAAAGCTACCTTGGCCCTGCAGTGCTAATAGGAGTAAAGGCTGGAAACTGCGTAGCAGCTGGCAGATGTGCCACCAAATTCCAAAATGAACAGATCTGTGGAGTAGGAAGGGGACAGTTTGGAGACAGGTTTCAGAGGGGTTAGCCTGTGTCAACAAAAACAACAAGGAGTCCGGTGGCACTGTAAAGACTAACATTAGGACAGAAGTTGCTGTGAGCGACAACCCACTTCTTCAGATGGTTTGGAGAGAAAAAGAGAAGAAAAAAAGGAAGGGATACCAAGGTGGGAGTATGACATCAGTGTTACCTCAATCAGAGACAGCCACTTTCAGAAGAGAAACGGTCTTGAAACAGTAAGATTTAGGACCGTTTGTGTGTCAAGTTCAGCCCAGGAGCTCAGGGTCAGAACAGCAAAGCCTTTTAGGGGCTCTTTCATATCGTGCTCTTGGCTTGCTTAGTTCACAGCTGAAGGGGAGGGTCTGCAGAGAGGTAGGGGAACGTGTCCGTCAAACACAAAGGAAAAATCCAAACCAAAAACTCATCTCGCGCTGCAAGTGCCTCTCTGTCAGCCATCCCACGTTTCTGAACTTCAGGTTGCAACTCCCCAGTCCGGCACCGACTGGTCCCGAATGGGAGAATTTCCCGGACCAGGGGAGGTCTCCTGTCACCAGCCCCCAAGCCCATTGCCTGCTGCTGGCAGGCTGCCCCCGCAGACACACTGCCTTCTCCTCCTTCACCCCCAGCCTGGCTGGGCTGCTTGCCCAGCTGCTGCTGGCTCCCTGGGCAACACAGGCTCCAGCTCCTGCTGCAGGACTCTGACCCCGCACTCCAGGGAGCTTCTGGGGGGCAGTGCCAGGAGACTCTGCCCTGCACTGCTATGGGGCTCCGGCTTCAGCCCCGAGCTCCCAGCAACTGCTGCAGGGCTCCAGTCCCACGTTGACCTGTGCTGCCGTGGCACTCCAGCCTGCCCCCCCGGCCTGGCCCCATGCTGGGGGAAGCTGCTGCAGGGCTCTGGTCCCAGTCTTGTACTGCCCCAGCTGGGCTGTCGACCGTTTCCCTGACCCTGACTAGCCCTCCAGCCCTTAAACTCCCGGGCTCTCTGGTCCAGGAGCATCTGTTGCCCTTCCAAATGATGGATGTTACCAGACCAGAGTGTGCCAGTTTTTCTGGGTGGTAGGTACAACCTGTGGTCCATAGGAAGACCATCAGAAGAGAACACAAGTTTATCTCGCCCATCTAACTTAATAAATCTTTTTTCTGATCCCTGGTGCTGGGCTCCAAACTATCCAATATGGCTCTCTGGTCCAGGAGCATCTGTTGCCCTTCCAAATGATGGATGTTACCAGACCAGAGTGTGCCAGTTTTTCTGGGTGGTAGGTACAACCTGTGGTCCATAGGAAGACCATCAGAAGAGAACACAAGTTTATCTCGCCCATCTAACTTAATAAATCTTTTTTCTGATCCCTGGTGCTGGGCTCCAAACTATCCAATATGACTTCTTTGCTGGCAGCTCTCCTGCCGTGCACTCCGGGGAACACGAGAGCAGGGGAACGTTGTCAGAAGTGCCTGATCGGCTCCCAGTGACTTTCATTTTTGAAATGACCATGTCATTCATGAATGGCACGGCCATGTGAGAGTGGGGCCGGTTGCCCCAAACAAGTGCCAACAAACCCTTCCGACCAACAGTAGGATTATGGCACTTTGCGCAGAAAAGCTATTGCAGAATATTTTTAGAGTAGAATTATTTTTACTGATTCTATTTTCACGTCCCTGTAGGTGCCTAGCTACTATCAACAGATAGTGACTCAGACTGTGTTAAAAAGAGTCTAAAATAGCTTGTCTGTAAAAAAAAACCAACATTGGTATGTATTTAAGTCCCAGGATCTCAGAAGCCATCAGGGAGTAAGCGTTTGTGCTACACACTAACAGAAAGCTCAGAATCCCATTTCTTCAAGCTTCCTTTTGGTCCTGCCACGGCCCCAGACCAGCTTCAACAACAGCCCAGGTTCAGAGCACAATCAGGGGACGGAATCCACATTTGGTGAAGAGACTTATGTCTGCACTGTTTCCCCTAGTTTTTTTTAAGGTATTTGAAGGTGCTCAGTAGCTTGCAACGTTAGTTCAGATTATTGGACAGAACGCAAGTGAAGAAGTACAAAATACACAGAGGTTATCTCAGGAATGCAAAAATAAAGGGAATTGATTTCAGGGTTATCACTGGAATACACACTACATCCTTCAAAATACACATATCTATTTTTGTTACTTACACACACACACACACACACACAACGGTGCTTATACATGTTTTAAATTACCTTCACATCGATATGCAGGGGACTCTAACTGCTTTCTGCACACAGTGCAAAACTTTCTTTTGTAATGTCCCGGAGGTCCAAAACAATGTGCAACTGGAACCTGTCAAGGAAAACATACAGGGTAGATCTTTAAAAAGCAATCACTCTCAGACCAATGGCTATTTAGAAGAATTTGGCATCACTGGAACTTATTGTGTGCACTATATGCGGCAATACATTACTTTATACTAAGTGCACGGACATAAAACCGGGAGAAACACAAACTGAAAACAAGCACGTGACTTGGATTATACATACCAGAGAGCCTCAAAATTTTAAAATGTGACATGAAAAGGGTGGCACTAATGTGATTTTATTCTTGAAATAGCACACAAAGACTTCAGTTATTATCAGGGTTCCAAGTGTGCATGCACACACACCAGGTCCACAGTAGACTGCAAAGGTCGGCTTAAGGTACAAAACACCAGCTATGTCAAATACGTAGCTGGCGTTGGCTCACTTTAAGCCGAGCTTGGTGTCATCTTCACACTGGGAGGCCAACGGGACCTAACGCTCCCATTGGCTTCCCTTCCTCCTAGCAACTACAAGAAATACCGGCACCGACCGAAGCTACCCTCAGCATTTGATTTAGCAGGTCTTAACTAGACCTGCTAAATCAAATGCCAGAAGATCAATCTCTGGTGTGGCAAGTGGAGATGTGGCCACAGATGGGGGTCCTTGCCCTAACTGACCAGGCAAGATAAACAACAACAAGAAAAGTGCCAAAAGATTATTAACCGGTACTATACGCATCTTTTTAAAAATTAAAGGTTTTCCTCCAAGCCATTATGCTCCCAACCTTTTGTCCCATCTCAGTCCCAATGCCAATCCACTGACCAAGGGAGCCCTCCTCCACATGGCCCTCCCAGGACACAAACTGACAAGAACAACCCAACGTTGTGAAGCCTGCTCAGCAAAGACACACGTGCCAACCTGCAGCAGCTCGAAAATCTCTTGTGACAGGGATGTGGCAGCTGGCCAGATGGTGGAAATCACTCTGCTGAATCATGGCTGTATGAGTACTATTGCAACACTGGACGCCAGATCCGTGGCTTGGCTCAAAGAGGAATTGCTCAACTTCCCAATGGACGGTGGCATAGCTCCGGATTTTGTTGCTATGGACAGCACAGTTTTAACACATTTTAGGGCCACTCTGCACTTCTTATAAAGTTATGCAACAAAAATCTAATTACTTCTCTGGAATACTGACGTTAGCTGCTGAGATCAGGAAATGCAGGGCCAATGGAGAAACACATGGGTGGAATTTCAGCTTCCAACACAGTAGGAAAAACGCCCAGACTTGAACTGTCTTTTAACACAACATCTCCCTATTCATAACACAGCCTGGATTTAGTTATAGTAACTACAGCTGAATTTTGGAATGGAGGCTTTTCTTCAGCTGCAACAATGCTACCAAACACACACAATAAGCAGGAGTCAAAACATAAGAAAAGCCATATTTGATTAGACAAAAGGTCCATCTTGGATATGTCCTATCTTCCAATACTGGCCAATGCTAGGTGCCCCAGAGGGAACGAACAGAACAAGTAATCAACAAGTGATCCCTCCCCTGTCACCAATTACCAGCTTCTGACAAACAGAGGCTAGGGACACCGTCCCTGCCCATCCTGGCTAATAGCCATTGATGGACCTAACCTCCATGGATTTATCTAGCTCTTTTTTGAACCCTGTTATAATTAGGCCATCACACCATCCTCTGGCAAGGAGTTCCACTGGTTAACTGTACATTGTGTGGCATCATAATTCCATTTGTTTTAAATCTGCTGCCTATTAATTTCATTCAGCAACCCTCTAGTTCTTGTATTGAGTCAATAACGCTTCCTTGTTTACTTTCTTCATAGCAGTCATGATTTTATAGACCTCTACCAGAACCCCTGTAGGCATCTCTTTCCAAGCTGAAAAGTCCGAGTCTTATCAAGCTGTCCTCATACAGAAACTGTTCCTTACCCCTAATCATTTTTGTTGCCCTTCTCTGAACCTGTTCCAATTCCAGTAGATCATTTTCTGAGATGTGGCAACCACAACTGCACACAGAATTCAAGGAGTGAGTGTACTATGGATTTACATAAAGGCGATATAATATTTTCTGTCTTACTCTCTATCCCTTTCCTAAAGACTGCCAACATTTTGTTAGCTTTTCTCACTGCTGCCACTCATTGAGTGGATGTTTTCAGAGAACTATCCACAATGATTCATAGATCTCTTTCTTGAGTGGTAACAGCTACTCTAGAGCCCATCATTTTAGATGAATAGTTAGCATTGTGTTTTCCAATGTACATGACTCTGCATTTATCAACACTGATTTTCGTCTGCCATTTTGTTGCCCGGTCATCCTTTGCAGCTCTTCACAGTCTGCTATGGACTTCACTATCTCGTGTACTTTTCTATCATCTGCAAATTTCGGTATTTTCCCCCTTCTTTTTCCAGGTCATTTCTGAATATGTTGAACAGCCCAGGCCTCTGAGGGACGCTGCGATTTATGAACGAATAGCAGAAACATGAAATGGAAAATTTAAAAGGCTTCTTGTTATATATATGAGCCACCTTCTGGAGACATCAGAATTTGAAGCAGCAGATTCCTGTCACATCAGTATCCACAAACAATAACCAGAAGTACTAATATCTCCATTACACTTCAGAATTCAAGTAACTGGTTTCACAAAGTTCAGGTCTAATTTAGGTTCATTTCAGATTTACAAATTTAGGTTACACTTAGTCAGCCTCTTGAATTGAGCAAGCTATCACATCACGTCATTTACTATCTTTTATGGCTCTATGATAATTACATTTCTGATTAAAATGACTTGAAGGAAATTTAGAACATTTCGCCACAATATTGCACAATAAAAATCATTTCCAGTAAAAATGTGCTAATGCCAGCTTTTAGATGGTACGTGAGATCACACAACGACCACATTTCCATCCTCACTCCAGAAGACAATCCCCCAGGTTTATTTAGCAGGATCTGACACCTCCCATCAGCGTCTGGGATGCTCTAATACATCAGAACACAGGCATAATTATGCTAAGCAATTCTATTCTGCAAATGATCACGACAAAGTAAGCGAAACAAAGGTTTGTCAGTCACAGGATGGGGAAACAACCCCACTTGATTGGATGAGTTCAGAATGATGGGAAAGAGACCAACCCGTAAATGAAATAAGGGATTGGAAATGAAAAACGAACAGGTTTTTTGTTTTTTTTTTTTTAACTGGGTAAGCATATTCCTAACAAATTCTTGATTTCCGAATCTCAATTAATTCAGGTGGACAAAAGGGGGGGAAAAAGAAGAAGAAGAAGAAGATAGAATTCTCTAACTAAAGGCAAAAATACAACTGACATACCGCACGTAAACATATTCCTAGGTATATTACAATAGGAAAATATTAATGCTAAAGGTAAGATGATAGATTCACAAATAGCAATATAATTCCCACAGCAAACATAACTCACAGCCCTGCATATACGCATTAGCTTTACATTTTTTCATTAAGACATAAAATGACACTTTGGCCAAGTTACGATTGCTACAGGCATGAATGAATACACTAATATTAGGAAACTTGAAATTAGGGTGCGTAAAGCCTTGCCCACACTAACCCCTGCCCTTGATCTTGTCTACACTAACCTCCACCCTCGAGCTTGTCATCTTCAGTTACATAAATAGCATAGCCAACGTCGATGTACTTACTGTGGTGTCTTATGTGCAGTAAGAGCTGCTCTCCCATCGACGCCAGTTACTCTCCTCATCCTAGTGGAGTAGCAGCCTCCTTGGGAGAACACCCAGAGATCGATTTATTATGTCTAAGTAGGCTCGATAAATCGATGACCAGTGATCGATCGCTGCTACATTGATCTCCGGCATAACAGAGACAAGCCCCTAAGATCTCAACCACAACACTATATTCACACTAGAGCGGGTCAAACATTTTCAGACTGAACACTTTTCAGTCAGAAATCAGAATCATAGAAATGTCAGGCAGGAAATCATCTAGTACAGCCCCTTTTGTTGAGAAAGGACCAAGTAAACCTAGACCAGCCCCATTCAACCTCTTCTTAAAAATTTCCAATTATGTGAATTCCACGACCTTCTCGGAAGCCAGACCCAGAGCGTAACTACCCTTAGAGGCAGGAATAGCTAAAGTACGTCTTCCTTTACTGCATATTAATCCCACAACTTCTAGTCCTGCCTTGAGGACAATCCCTTACCATGGAAGGTGGTGATGTGCTTGTGGTCCAAACCCTGAAACACTACTCATTAAGTAGCTGTGTTTATACTGTGCATTAAACACACACGAGATGGCTTATGTGGTCACAAGAAGCAGTTCTTGGTCCTCATCAATTACAGAACTTTTTTTCCAGTAGGATGACACTAAAACCAGTTTGCCCAGAATGCAACAGAACCTCTACCCAAGAAACACCTGTAAAAATGTCTAAGTGCCAATACAGTGCCAGCCAAGCATTTCCGGACCCAAAAGTGGGTGTTAATACTTACACCCTGAAATGCCCTTCGAAACCCAGTTTACTTATGACCAGAGCATTGCGTAATTCTTCATCTCTGCGTGTTGTTTCCAGCCGTAACTCACCAAGACATCTGAGTCCTGCCCTTTGGACACTGTCTCTCTGTGTAACTGGATACGGTCTTGCTCTATTACTTAATTTATCATATAGAAACTTAGTGTGCAAGATAAAAAACCTGCTTTCACCATCAAATGGCTCTGCTTCCAATCATCTTCAAAGGCCTTTTATTGCCTTTAGTACTACAGTACTATAAGGACTATGCCATGATTAACCTGATTCTCTTCTCCCATTTATATAATTTACAGAACACAGCACTAGTTCATTATGTTAAAAATTCTTCCTAGTAGGTTGCTGGAAGCAGACGACTGTTCAGACAGCAAAATCAAGTGTGTTGTGTAGATAGAAACATTAACCGGGATTTGCAGTACGAGGAGGACTATTCTGTTCTCAGCTATCTAGGGCAGCTGTACTTGCCTTTTTGAATCCTAGCAGGATTTTCCAATTCTCTTAACCTTTGCT